AATACGTAGCCAGTTCAAGCGGGGGCCTTCTTCCAAATTCCTTTCTTTCGAAAACTTCACTCGACCTCCTGCGACCTTCTTTTGTTGCAGACTGAACCTTTGCACACGTTCCACTGTCGTCCTCCTCGACGACATAAATTCGAGATTCAGTCAGTTGGTTCATGATCGCAGACAGGCGCCGAAAAAAATAGACAGGGACACGAAGTGGACGTAAACACTGACGCTCCCGCAACTAACATTTTTTGAAAAACCAATCCCTTATATGGCTACGAAAAACGTCAGTCATGACTACAACCGGTATATCCCTCTATCAAGAAATTCATACTCTTAGCCAATAAGGTTATGGAGGGTGTAAGAAAAAATGTCCCCGGGAAAAAAATGTCCTCGAAAAAGATGTCCCCGGAAAAGATGTCCCCGGAAAAAAAGTCCCCGGATAAAATGTCCCCGGAAAAAAAAGCCCCGGGTGGGAAGTAAGAAAAAATGTCCCCAAAGGGGTATTCTCTATCTTTGGGTTCCCCTGATCCTTATGGCCTTCGGGCGGTCCGGTCATATGTCCTTGGGAAAAAAGGCACCCTGTGGTAAGTAGGAAAAAACGGCACCCACAAATAAGGAAATATACGATTCCCCGAGGTACACGTCGCGACACTGTTAGCGCGTACACGACATCGGCGCATTTTCTCATTTTACTTGGAAAGTATATTAGTGGGAACGAAATTTTACCATCTGCATTATATCCTCAAACGAGCACTTTCAGTACCTATGATAACTTTGATGAGAACCTTTTGTTTCTACAAAAAAAAAAAAGAAAGAAAAAAACTAGCGATCGCTTGTTTGAGCTAACAGTGTCGCGCTTTTTACCTATTTGGAAATGGTGTACAAGTACCTCTCAAATTTCCCCAAACAAAGAAATTTGGTTTTCGCTAAAAATGTTAAAAATTTTCTTTTTTTTTTTTTACAACAAAAAGTAAAACAATGTTTGGTTTTGGCAAACACAATAATTTGGTTTCCAAAATATTCCACTGTAGATTATTTCGGTTGCTTTATGTGACTTGCAGTTTCCCTTTCTACCTCTAGGCAGGTCAGGTCATTTGTGACCGGATAATGAAATGACAGGACTGCCCGAAGGCCATGAGCATCGGGGAAAACCCAGCGATAGAGAACCCTTTGGGGACATTTTTTTCTATTTTCCACCAGGGCCTTTTTTCCGGGGACATGTTTTCCGGGGACGTTTTTTCCGGGCACGTTTTTTCCGGGGACATTTTTTCCGGAACCCGGTTATGGATGTGTCACTTGTACACCCTCGTGCCTTTGGCTTCATTTTCAAACGCCTCGTGTAGCTCTCTAGATGCTTTATCTGGTAGATACTTTATCCGTATGTGATTTTGTGTATTACAAGTTGTAACAAGCATTCGCTTTTGCCATGAATTTTCTAAATATTGATTGAATAAAATTGCATCTGCAGTTACATTATCCTTTATTGCTGTTTTTAAACATGACCCTATATAAAGTTGAACACCCTGAAATACCAAAGACCCCTAAAAACTCCGAATTTCGAGTTTCATAAACGAATGCTCTGAGAAACTCCGAATTTCGGAAACAAAAATACACTTCCAAAAACACCCTCCGATTTTTTTTAATGAACTTCAAAAACTCAGAATCTTACAGTATATTTAACGGTAAATATATGCATAATGATTTATTAACTTGTTATTTATCGTCGCTCTGTTTTTATCTGGGAATTTTCCTTCAGAAACGTTATTCCAAATCCGTGCGTGATGACCCTTTGGGTGGATGTGCTTCTGCATAATCACGTTTTATTCTAAAAAAACAAAAAAGCTTGTCTTTTTTTTAGAAATAACGTGCTAACGTTTCAACGCTGATAAACTTCTAATGAAATAAAATATTATTTCCCATAACCTACCAAACAAGACTATCAAAATCAAAGTTACTTTTCCGGAATGTCTTTGCGAATGCGGTTGACTTCACGATGATTTTATTCAGGTCAGTGGAAGAAACGTCCTGTGAATAAAACGTTTTCAAGGAAATATCAAAATTATTATTGATTTGCGTTCAATAATATCCAGGCAATTACAGTCCTCAGGAACATTACGAGCTTTTGTCATGAAAAGAAGAAATAATTTTAACTTTGTAGAGCCGTAGAATCAAAGCTATACGCGTCCAAAATTTTGAATTACTGCTTATTTATATTTTGTGACTGTCATCTAAAATATTCCCGGGGAACATTGTGATGTTTTGTTGTTGTTCAGTTGAAATTCTCATCTTAGTGTGTTTAGCAGAGACCTCAAGTCGTTAATGTCCAAGAAAGTTGGGAAATATTTTTTGAATGGTGAAGTAGCACCTTTCAATATTGCAATAACAACGGGGTGATCGTTCACAAGTTGCGGTATTTTATAGGCTGTGGCTTGGGAGCCATAATGTTTTCGCGTTTTAGGTTTCGTATATAATTAATGTATCAGATGGCTCTCTGTTGTGTTAGGGTGGTAAGTTTCACAGGATTCATTTTTATCACTCTTGTACTCGTTACATATTTTCAACGCTAGTTTTCAGATACAAACAAAAATGCAATACAGTATGTAAAATCCGACATTTGGCAAAATATGAAGCCGAATGCTCTGTGTATTGAAGGTTTTCAATGCAGCGCACTTCTTTCTTTTGTAGTCCTAACAACCAGTGATTTCCCTACACACACCCTTGTTTTTTTAAAGGCACCCCCTTAATTCGCCACGACTCCTCTACTCTCAATCCCCCCCCCCCCCCCTGACAAATTTAGACACCCCCACTAATTTCAATTCCTGGGGAAACCCCTGCTAACAACTTGTTCAGAATATTTTTCCTAGTGGTTCCCCCGACAAACAGGCATGAATAAATATGGTGTTTGGATTAGGCTGTTGCGGAGCTGGCATTTGAGCCCACAAGAAAGGTTAAGTGTGCGTCGTGCTAGATTCCTCTCGAAGTCTTGTTTACTTTGCTCTTTTTCGCTTTATCCAGAATACACGTAAAATCGGGCTGCGGGTCTTTCTTTTCTTTTTATGTTATAATTTGCGTTGCAATATAGGCTGCATCGCCTATATTGCAAAGTATAGTTTGGTATGTAGGGAAACAGCTAAGGATCAAAACTGATACCGCAGGGGTGACATGTTTGCGTAAGTCTATAGTGTGTTGCGGGTTAACAATAGCGGGGCCAGCCCCTCTCTCAAAGCGCTCGGCTCGCCATAATTGGTGTTTTTTTTTTCCACTCATCTCCTCTCCAGCATACATTCTGCTGAAGTGGAAAGAGCGAAGGGCTTAGTGGGGAGGAGCTTGTACTGCTATTCTTAAGCTTCACCAGACATATAATTGGTATTATTATGATCATACCAAGAATATTTTGTCGGTTGCTGTCCAAGCTTCCACTGAGCACCATGGCATCGTGAAACATGAACACCGCAATATAATACGAAGCGCCGTTGAACATTCAACATCAAGAAAATGAGCATGAAAAACTTTAGCATATAGGGCAGCAATTTGATGCAACTTCGAACATGGACACAAAGAATATGAATATGTAGGACAAGAACATGAGCATGAATAACTTGAGCGTATCAATTTTTACTCCACAAGCCGAAAACTAAAAAAAAAAGGTTTTCATCTGCAATTGCATTTTTGTGGAAAATTACCCCTTAAATTAGCTGATTTATGAAGCCGTTTACACCAACAACCCCCCCCCCCCCCCTTCCCTAACCCGCCCCCCCCCCCCCCCCAAAAAAAAAGAAAATAAAAAATGGAAAAAAAAATTATTTTGTAGAGGAAGCTTGTTGCGATAGCAGCACGCGATAACAGTTGCGAGCAGTTTTCACCGTCTGCACGTGAACTTTGTTATAATAAGGTTCACAAGGAATGCCAAATCAGCCTAAACATTTTCTTCGTTATGTCATTTGCACCCATGACAATATCACACCACCTGTCGCGTCATAATAAAGAAGCAAGAGTGTTGTTTTATTTCTGTGACATAAAGCTTTTTCGTATCCTTTTGTTAGGCTGCCCAGGAAGTGTTTCGGAACTGCGCCTTCTTAGAGGACAAACCATGCATGGAAAGGTTAGTCAAGTAGTGAGAGTGTTGCGACGGTCATTAGTTTTACCATATAAGAACAATGGACTGTCCTCGACCTTTCGTGACCATAACCATCCAAATGATACCGTTATTTTCCACTTGAGATCTATTCTTAAATGAAACACGGGCTCCGTGCACGAGGCATAATCGAGATCCCTCACTGCATAAGATGGAGGACGGGATGAGTTGGCCATTCATATTTATAATTTGCGTGTTTCAGTGTGAATTGTTCTTGTGCGCCGTAAACTATAAGTAGCTCCACTGCAGCGTTCTTTCATTGCTGTTGTTTCGCATCAAGTGCCGTCCGCATTATGTGCCTTGATTTTGCAAGTCTGATAGGAGGTTCGAGATTTCGTCTGCTAGCAAAGTTGTTTTCGGTTTCGAGTTTAGATTTGCATCTCCAGCTGGCGATAACACATAATTGCGCATATGTTTTTTTTTTTTTTTTTTTTTTTTTTTACTAGTCAGTTTGGGCATTTTTGTTCTGGTATAAGAAGGGTTACTTTTTTGAACAAGTCCTTGCTGTTTAACCATCCATTAGTAATATTGAGCAGCCCAGGTAAAGGAAATAGATAATTTTGAAAGGCAGAAATAGGTAGGGGAAACAGAGCGAGCACGCCGGCGCTTGCGCGACGTTTTATTCCCCGGTAAATATAGAAACACTGCGGCTGGCCGCGCATCGATAAAAAACAAAAAGATTAAGCGAAGACTCGTATTATTGCGTTGGGGATAACACACAGCGGAAAGGGCGGAACGCTTGCGTACGGCTACGTACAGTGATTCGCGCTACACTTCAGACTTCGTTGGACGGTGGCGCCATCTCGGTGCTTTTGCATAAACTAAAGCATACAAGCTTGGTAAGCGATCAGAAAAAGGCTGTGTCATGAGTTTGGGATTGGACGTGTGCCTTCGGTATGCTAACATGAGTGACGCTAGATACGGCTAGCCTCTCACACCTTTTATAATACTTGTTAGTTGACGGACGGTCTAGTGCAGAGGGCGGCGCATCCATTATCAAGGTCGTTGCAGCCTTCATTTCGGGTCTGGTTGGGAGGGGGAGTTTCGTTTGGCAATTACGTTGCGAGGACATCTGCTTGAGGAAACTTCGTACTCTGGCCGCTAGTATGGCGTTCTTTTCTTGTGCTAACCTTGTTCTCTGAAAATGTTCATCATATTTTATGTCCACTGGGAAGAGTTCTGAACGTGACAGTTTTAAGCTATCCACGGTATTGAGGCACTAGTTAGCTTTTTCTTTTTTTGCCTTATCTAACTTAGGATCAGACACCATGTGACTCACCAACATTGAGCTTCACTTTATGTCACATCATTGGATTGATTACTGTTTGCTGAAAGATGTGCACAACTTCTTAAAATGTTTGGCAACAGAACCAACATTGAAGCTTGAGTTGATGATGCATCAATGCACTGATTACTGTTCCTGAAAGTCGGTGTGATGTGTTCAATTTCTTAAATTGCTTGCCAACAGGAAGTACCAAGATGTCCCCTAGGAAGACGAGGTCATCAACAAGCCAGAAGGCCAGAAGTGGAAGTGAGACAAACACGAAAGCACCACAGCCCAATGGCATCCGGTGCAAAAATGCTGTCAAACCACATGCTGAACAGTCCAGACCCTTCAACAAAGAGGCATCAGCGTCCAAAAGACAGCAGCGCAGGAAGAATGGAGTTAGAGTGAGGAACGGTTCTTGTGCCGCACCAGCCGTAAAGTTGGAAAATGGCCTGGGATGTGGTGACAGTGCACCACCAATGGTTGATGCCATAACGAAGCCTGATCCCAATGTGGCCAAGGGACTGAAGCGTCTGGAATCTCCTGTGGAAGACATTGAAACACGGTCCCCAAAGAAGCAGGGTACAGCTGGAACCAAAGCGGCAAAGGTGAAGTCTCCCAAGAAAAGCCCTGTAAAGAACCTGAAGTTTGTAGGGGCTCATGTTTCTGCGAGTGGTGAGTGGCACTGGCAAACATTTCACATGTCCTAAAGCTGCGCTCTGCACGAAAGAAAACCATGAACCATCAGTTTTTTGTAGTTTTACATGTATCTGGAATGAGGGACTCACAATTCGTGATTTGAGTGTGCATTGATGTATTATGTAGTGTTCATGTTTTTGCTCCTACTTGGTTGTGCACCATTCTGTCAAAAAAAGAAAAGATTATATGCTCTGTTTTGTTTTAAGTGTAGGTCTTTAAGGGATGACAATGTTACACAAAATATTTTAAAATCAACATATTCTCTTGCACACTGTTTGCCCATATCTCAAAAGGAGATAAAACAATTGGCTCATTCGTAGTTAGGTGAATGGGGAGGAAGATACAGGTTCCTGTAGGGTTAAGGCTGCTTCACTAGCTTGGACTGTAATGCAATTTAAGAATTACATCCAAAAATGTATTTGAATACAAAAATACCATTTGTAAATTGTATCGTGGTGTAGAAATTTCAAGTCCACAATTTGTTTTGGGAATATTGTGACCATCGCAGTACTGTCCCACCCTGGAAAATGCAACTGCAGGCTTCTTAACGAGATACAAGCACTTGTCTGGGTTAAAAGTAAACATTCAAGAGAAATCTTTCTGGTTTGGAAACACAATAATTAAGGTAAAGGCAACCAACCAAGTCCTAAACATGTAGGAGCCCTGCGTTTCGAACCTACTTGGTTCTTCGTCAGAGGCGCCTGTGGCCGTTGAGGAGCCCCTGATGAAAAACCAAGTAGGTTCAAAACGTAGGGCGCCTACATGTTTAGGACTTGGTTGGTTGCCTTTACCTTAAAAACTTGTCTTGGTGCAACCCCGTCTGAAGGAAATTAATTTGTTTTAAGACGACTTTTTTTCAATAGTTGACATGATAGAAGAACTGAGGAAAAAATAGCTACAGAGAGACTTCAGTGACAGACCACTCCTAGTAACAATTTCCACAACGCCATATCAATGTTTAACTGAGGGACCCAGATTTAAACACCATTATACAGGAAAAACGTGTGTTCGAGAGGTCAGTCTGCGGTAAGATAGTAATGGAAGCTCAAGAATCTGATCAAGTCCAGTCAGACTGGTGTCGTAAGAGTATACCGATGTAATGCATTGAGCTGCACAATTTTCGGTTGCTTCAGGGCTATCAGCAGGGTAGGCTTCTGAAGGATGCCAGATGAACGAGGCACATTCCAGTTTTGGCTGAACAAATATGATGTGGGCTACTTTTTTTAAGTGAGGGTGCTTATTTCAGCATCTGTTTTAGGTAGTCAAGGGTAACAACATCCTTATGTTGAATTCATGAAAGTAAGTGCAGCAAGTGGGCACCAAGGTAGGAGGGCTATTATAAACGTAAGGTAACGATTGAGCTCTTATGGACAAAATTTCTTTCTCAGCCAGACATATTAATACACAGTGGCATGTCGCTGGTAGACATTACTTTTCAACATAGTCATTATCCTTGTCCATACATTTGTTCCAGCACTTCACCAAGGCATCACTGTCAGTATAGAAGAAATCTGCATGAAGTCCCTGAAGCCATGTCTGATGGCTTACTGAACTCGCACTTTTGGTGGGAGGTTCTGGAGCATTCTTCATATGGTTAATCTCTTTGGAACATTGAAGAAGCACCCGGGTGGTAGGCGATTCACAAGTGATGTGGAAGTTCAGCTAACTGTCATGATGAGGCTTCAAGGACTTGAGGCAGATTTCTTCTATGCCAGCATCGATGCCTTGGGGTACCACTTGGAGTGCCGTGGGAACAAATGTTTGGGCAAGCTGCTTGGTGACTATGTTGAGAAGTGTGTACCAGTGACACATCACTCTATATCGGCTTGTGGGAAAAAGTTTGTCCATGAGAGCTGCGGTTCCCATACTTTTTTAATAACCCTTATACTTAAAAGGTGATGTGCTGCTGTTTATAATGCCACTTAGTGAATGGGAATAAAGGAGAGTAGATTCTTTTTTGCATGAATGATGCAAGCTTGCTTTTGTCATTGTTAAGAGGCACAAGTCATTCATTGCAAAAGTGTCATTTTGTGTTTGATCATTTTGTAGAGCAGGACGATTGGAGAGGTTTGTCAGTGAATAGTAAATGACGCAATTGTCGGCTGTTTTATTTTTGAATTGATGCCATGGGAAGGTCATCTTCTTGTCTTGATTATGTTCATGGCTGATCATTTACATAGTAAAATCTACTCATTTCAGGTAGAGTTCAGCTATCTTGTTCATTCAGTTAATAACACATCCAGTGTAAGTGCAGACAGCGATGAGTATTTGAAAAGTGTTGACTCTTTCGAGATGTAATGTTCACATCTTAGTTGTGCATCTGACTTGACGTAATTTGAATCTTCTTGAGTGTAACAAGCTTCATTTTCACGTATTAGTATCATTATATATTAGGGCAGCTTCCATTGTGCTGAAAGAGTGTTGCAATGGCTAGATTAAAACTAGTGCCATTTTTGCCCATACGGCACGCAAAAATAAGTGCTCTGCAGGGGCGCTTGGTGTGTGTTTGTGTTAGTCTTGCATGCTCCAGGAACAGAATTGGATGTTCCCTTGACACAGTTCTTCCTATTGCATCCTAACAACAAATCTGAAGGTTCTCCTGTCCGTCCAATGCAGGGGGCCTGGAGCATGCCGTGCAGAGAGCCGTAGACATTGGGGCCCGCTCGTTTGCGCTGTTCCTCCGCTCTCAACGCCAGTGGGCTTCCAAGCCCCTGACCCAGGAGACGGCCCAGCGCTTCCGGAAGGCGTGCCGGGAGCACAGCTTTGCACCACACCACATTCTGCCCCACGGTTCCTACCTCCTCAACTGTGGCTCTCCAGATCCGGAGGTCCTCGAGAAGAGCCGGACAACCCTAATCGACGAGCTCAAGCGCTGCGAGATGCTTGGCCTGGTCTACTACAACTTCCATCCAGGTCAGTGATGCACGGTAGGACGCCTCGGTGTCGTCCAGAAGCGCCGAAGCCCCCATGGACTACTTAAAGGGGCCCTGCAAGGACTTTTTACTGTTTTTTTAAATTGCCCCGAACCTGAGCGCACTGAACGTAGTGACTTAGTGAAACTTTTTTTTTCGCGAAATTCGCTTTATTTTAAAAGTTATAGGCAATTTAGAATTACAAAAACAAGCAAAAAATAACCTCCTTCATGACGTCGTAGGTCCTGGCTTGAGTGGCCGTGAACTAGAAGAGGAATAGTGAGCTCATCGAGCGCTCACGGCCGCCGCACTCCGTGTCGACGGCGCCAGAGGGCGCCACTAAAGCATGTTCTGGATAGGCTGTATGCAGCGGGCAGCCAAAGCGGCTTTCATTGCGTTTGCTGCGCGATTAAACTCTAATTCAGCATGACACTTCATTGGCCACAAACGACAGCAAACGGGGGGTAAAGATCAGTTCAGAATGGGAGCCACTTCGCACTGCCGTACCGCGAAACGGCCAAACCGCAAGACAAAGCCTCTCGCCGAAGGCCTTTGGAACGCTCGGAGCCGGTCGGATCCTCCTGTCCATACGACTGCAGCGCCACCGCGTACATCCTGGATTTTTCCGTGTCGGCGCCTTATCCCACTACTCCTTTCTAGTATGCGCCGCCTTTTCCACCGCTTGGCGGCGGGTATGTTGGCGGGTCATTTCTTGTTTCCGTACTTTATAAACTGCATTTCTTTCTTTTTTTCATCGATAATAGTGAACAAAAACTACTTTTATAAATAATTGAAACGGTTCGCACCACTTATATTTTGTATTTCGACCAAAAAGAAGTTTTTGGTGGCTCTGACCAGTAGTAAGCCCAGGACCAAAGACGTCACATTTTGCGCGCTTTCGGTACCGCGGGTCGCCCTCGTTGGTGGAGGAGGTTTCCGTGTCGTCCGGTTAAAATATGGCGCACTGATATTTAGCTACTCTTTCCGTGCCCGCTGGCTTGCCCGAACCCCAAGAGACGTGGAAACCGCATAAAAGGTAGACGCTTAAATATGATTGCAGGGCCCCTTTAAAGGCTCGTTTTAAGTGCAAGGATAAGGTCTCGTAGGGTCTTGTTCTTGCTGAAGGACTGTCCCGGGTGGAAGTCAATTCAACTGGAGTCGGACTATGGGACTGGTTCCAGCTGGCTCCAGACGAGTTTCATAATCCGGCTGCACAGACTTTCACTTGGGGCATTTCTAAATGTAAACATTGAGCTTGAGACAACACGTTACTGAACGAAACTTCCATCCAGGGCAGTGATGTTTGGTGCATCGATGTCGAGTCGACATGACCAATTGAGTCGCGGATCGTAATGGAAGACTAATTTATTTAAAAGGGCTAGACACAATTACGATCTGGCATCCTGCTAAAAGTTCGCTTCGTTGAAAACTGCCTCTTTCCTCGTCCGCTCCTTTCCCCTCCGGTTGTCTTTTTGCCCTCTTCGCCAATAGATGGTGCTAGGCGTCCGCTCACCAATAGACCACATCGCTTCACGCCAAGACCAACAAGGGACTCTTTATTGATGGCCCGCATTCCCCAAGTCTGGTTCACGCATTCGGCCCCTTGACTGTGATGGACTGCGTTATGACCTTTACTTATTATTCTTTCATCGTGGGCCCAAAATAAATCTGACACTGTCACGAGTGACCATATCTCGTAGGTAGTGCGTAGACTTGATGTCGCAAATACTGAAAAACCTTCAGTCCAGTTGTGCAGAGATCTGATGTGCTCCTGGGCTAACCAATGGACGGAGTCGGTGTGTTATCTTGTAAGGAGTTGAATACACTATAACACTCAGACGCACATGTGTGAACCAGCCTTTATGGTTGCACACAGTGTTGCTTACCCTTACGGTAAGCACTTTTCAAGTCTAAGTTCAAATGAAATATTTTTAAAGAACATTGTTCTTGCTGACGAGGCCATGCGTCTACATGTGAACGCGAGTTGTGCAAGAATGCATTACGGAACAGTAACTTCCGTTCAGGTCGGTGGTGCTTGAAGGGTGCCTTAATGTTGTACCGACTACTCAACCTCCCAAGGGCTGCTCGAAGACTAAAGGGGGTACACTGGTCTTCGAGCTTTTCTCCTTATTTTATGACTAAACACAATAAATAAAACTGCACAAGCTTGTTCAGTTTTTAGAGCTGATATCAAACATCTGGGCATTTTCTCAGGCAGTAAATTAGGCCTTGAGATAATTAAAACTCAACTATCTTTGTTTGGAGCAACAATAGTGAGCAAACTACTCAACAAGATATTCTGTCTGACACATGGCTAGGTACTACGAGGTGTAAAGAATACAATGTTGGGAGTACTTTTAAGATTAAACCATTATTAGTAATCTGTGGCTACCAAGTAATAACTAAAAAAAAAGATTTCCTAGATCTATATTGAAAAAGTTGCTTGCAGTATTGTATGCTTTGCACATTTAGCTAGATGCTGACAAAAAAAATGTATATATATATATATATATATATATTTCTCCCTGGCCTAGGTGCTTAGATATCTACCCTGTAAATTTTCTAGGAGTCCAAAAGTTTTGTCTTGGGAGAGCAGTGTTTTAGTCATCTTCAATGCATATTTATTTATTTATTTATTTGTATATTGAACATACTCTCGGGGCCCAAAGGCATTATAGAGGGTGAGAGCAGGTACACAACAATGGGAGGAAAAAATTGGAACAAATTAGTGATAGTAATAATATAACAATCGAGCAGGTCATGGATCTTTGGAAAAAATGTTTAGTGGTAGCATTTCGAAATAAATTCAGGTCAGTGATGGCAGCAATTAAACTGGGGAGGTGATTCCATTATTGGGCTGTATAAGGAAGAAGTGTTGAGCAAAAAGCAGTTGTTAGTGAGCTTGGGACTCCAATTTTATGCTGATGATCAACACTGGACGAAATGTAAAAGGGAAAGTTATCATTTGATCGTGTAAGATGGGATCATGAAAATAAATCTTGTGAAATAAACAAACGGGGAATTTTACGGCGCATAGAAGAAGATGGTAAAGATAAACTAATTTTCATCTATGGGACACTACTAGTGGTGCAAAACTATCGATAGTATCGATAGTCGCCAGAAATCTGACTATCAATAGTGAAAAAAACTATTGATAGTACTATCGATAGTCGACTATCTAAAAACTATCGATAGTACTATCGATAGTCGACTATCGGAAAACTATCGATAGTACTATCGATAGTCGACTATCGATAGTCGATTATCGAAAAACTATTGAAAAACTATTGATAGTCGACTATCCGAAAACTATCGTTAATCGACTATCAGAAAACTATCGATAGTCGACTATCGTAAACCTATCAATAGTACTGTCGACAGTTTACTATGGATAGTTTTGCGACACTAGTAGGTTGCGTCGCCCCCCTTGTCTATTTATCGCTTTAATTTTTTTTTCAAACGGGGCACCAACTAGTCCAGGCACTTACCATCCCAACTTTGGTTCAGCTTTCAGTGATGACAAAGATGGGGGTTAGGGCGAAAAAAGAAGGGGGCGGCGAACGGTAGGGCGAGGGCAAGACGGGCCGGGGAGGAGGAGGCAGACGAACCGCTGGAGAAGAGAGGAGGAAACCTCCTTCTCTCTTTAGCGTTCCGTCTGCTTCCTCCTCCCCGGCCCATCTTACTCTCGACCTGCCTTCTTGAGTTGTAACGGACTATAGTGGTGCAAGACTATCGATAGCACTAGCGATAGTATCGTTAGTCGCCAGTATAGTAAAAAACCATCGATAGTCGACTATCGAAAAACTATCGATAGTCGACTATCGAAAAACTATCGATAGTCGACTATCGAAAAACTATCAATGGTCGACTATCGAAAAACTATCGATAGTACTATCGATAGTCGACTATCGAAAAACTATCGATAGTACTATCGATAGTCGACTATCGATAGTTCTGGGACACTATCGATAGTTTTGGAAAAACTATCGATAGTATCGATAGTCAATTTATCGATAGTTTTGCATCACTAGACACTACCTGTGTGATGATAGTTCGATAGGATGAAACCAGCTGAGCGATTTTGGATAGTCTCTAGTGCCATGACGAAGGTATTGTGATTCATATCCCAGACAGAGGCTGCGTATTCCAGCTTTGATCTGATTAATGATTTATGTAAAACCAATTTAAGTGAAACGGGTACCTATGAGAAGTCACATTTTATGTAGCCCAACATGCAGTTAGCACGGGATGTGATATGCTGAATGTGGGGTTTCCATGAAAGGTTAGAAGTTAAGTGAACTCTGAGACATTTGTAAGATGATACTTGTTCCAAAGAGGCCATCAAGGTGTTAACTAGGACTGTTGTTAGGTGTGCGGGACACTCTCATGTGTTTACATTTGTAGTGTTTAGTTTCATTAGCCACGACTCACACCAACGAGAGACAGAGTTAATGTCGGATTGAAGTGCAAACGAATCAGAAATATCTTGAATCTCATTTGTCCAGGCAGACACTGAAAAGGCCTGGATGCCGTCTTGTTGTTTATAAATAAGCGTGTCTGCTCAGAAAGGTTGTGGGCACTGTGCTTGTGTGGGCTGTAAAACTTGTAGTTGTGCTCCCAGTGGCACTGCCTTGCTATGACTTTGCAAACACGAGAGGCGGTGTATTGGCTGTGCTCCCTTGCAGCGTTCCTGCATTTCATGAAGTGACTTCTCTGCGGTGCCGAAGTGGACTGCAGTTAGGGAGACCTGACAGCAACAAGGCAGCATGCAGATCCTATGATCACACTTTCTACTCTTATTGCAGAGAATCTGCAGACCAGATGTGAAAATCACTAGTTGTGATTGTTTAAACATTTTTTGAACGAAAGACTGACAAGAAATAGGTGCCTCACCGTCCATGTTTCTGTATTGGGATTTATTTTTTTGCATTTATGTTAAAGTTTCACTGAAGTTAACTCATTCTTTTATATATATGCGAAACAAGTGTTCCGTTTAGTAGCACTACCATGAGAAATTACGGTATCTCATTTTTCAAAACTAATTTTAGCAGTTTGATTAGGGTAGGTTTGATTTGTTTAGATGATGTTGTACATAGAACACTTTTGCTGAAAAAAGAAACATTTATTACATGAACATTTATTGCATGCCATTATGGAATGCTGACTGCGTAAACTTCTCCTTACATTTCTTGGTTCTACCTGGTCTTATTGTCATTATGATCCTGATGTCTTTGTTTCCGTGTCCACAAACAACCGAATGTCTGTGATGTGGCACAACATAATACCGCTGTGAAATGTGCTCACCTAAATGTAAAAAAATGCATAATGAAAAAATCTCACAAGCAAGCAAGAGCAAAAATGCACTGCTAAGAGAAACAGAAGCATCTCATGCAACTGTCTCTTAATACAGTTTAGACCACTTACAACGTAACCGCTTATAGTGCAGGACCGGGTGTAACGTGGCTTTTTTTAAACCACCGGTTCGCCTCCCATAGAACTCCATGTAATTACATACTGCTTAAAATGCAGGCGCGCAAAGGGAAATACCGGTTATAGTGCGGTTTCTGGAACAGCCCGCCGACCGACCGGCGCAGCGAGCACGCTTCCCTGTGCGACACTAGATAACGGCGCTAGCTGCAAGCGGCACTCGCAGGGCAAGGAGGTTGCTTGAAGAAGCGGGGAGAAGCGAAGAGAGAGGCTCCAGTCGCCGTAGCGACGAAGAGACGCACGCATGTGTCGTTCACGTGCGTGCGTCCCTCCGCTGCTGTGGAAACGTTGGAAACAACCGCAACGACAGACCAATCGCAGGTCGAGGAGAAGTGTTCGCGCGCGTTGCATGCCGGTCGCGGGCCGGCTTCTTCTATCCGCAAACATGGCGTCGGTTGTGGTCGTCGACGTAGACGGCGTGGTGGAAGCCCATCGTTCCGCGTAAAAGCGCTATCCTTGACTGTGAATTTTCGTTGTGTGTCGTTATGATAACCCAGCACGTACTAGAAGGGAAGATCCACCTATTTGCGGCGATGTCGTGGCGGCACTCTCAAGACGGCAGGAACGCCCGTGTCGTTGTGTTTGTTTACTTCGACTACAGTGGTGATTTCTAAGCACTTGTGTTTTCGAACATTGCCCGGATTTCTTATTTGGAGCATTTCATGCGTGTGCTCAAGTTGAAGGTATTACTGGCGCGTACCGTATAAAGGATGCGAATTTTCACGCGTTTTCATCACCGGAGAAAAGTGATTAGGGTTAGCAATCCTGAACGCTCGCAACGTCCGTCCGCAACCCACGACGCCGTTATTAGAGTTTTCATAGATCGTTTTCGCCGTCCCGCAAGGCCCTCCGCAACCCGCTACGATATGTATTTTGTATTTGTAACATGTATTTTGGCCTGAAAAATTGATGTTTTGGTTATAGCGCGGTACGGCTTGTAGTGCAGATTTTCGCGACTCCCGCGACATACGTTATATGCAGTCTACGCTGTATTATCATAATCATCAGAAATATCAGAGTTAGCATGCCTGAAATTATTTCCACACATCTGCATTCTTGATCTCTAGAAAGCTCCTCGGGAGCAAAGCTTGGCGATAAACATATTGCATCAAAGATTTCTTGGTCACAGCAAGCCTTTAGAATAATGTCTGGCTTGGAGTTTTCACCTTCGTGCAATCCATTCTCTTTTTTGAAGAATACTTTCCCTCGTAAAAAAGAAATAAACTGATTGACTGATTGATTGACTGATCTGTCCAGGGTCAACCTGCGGCACAATCACCAGGGAGGAGTGCATGGATAAGATTGCTGAAAGCATCAACCAGGCACACAAGGAGACTACATACGTCATATCAGGTGTGGAATCAGCCCAGGCCATCTTTTGCCAATAGGGAAGACTGGGGAACTCGCTGGGGAATTTTTTTTTCCCTAATGAATCCAGGTTTTTCTCTAGATTTGTTGGGGACCCAACTAATCTGGGTTTTGTAGAAGAAGAAACTTTTCCTAGTAAATCTCCAAGGAAATTTTAAAATTTAGAAGAAAAAGAATTGGCAGCAACCCTTGTCTCGAAACATTTTATGAGGCATAGAATGCAGTATTTAGAGAGGAATTGCTTAGATTTGTTTAGAAGACGTTGAAGAGTCATTTGAGAAAGTGAAGAGAGCCTACTGCAGTGACAGGAGTGCTGCATCATTTGCGCCCGATTGCACCACAAACAAAAATCTGCTACATCTTGCGCCACATCTGCGCCGAGGTAGGCATAATTAAACACTGGTCTTTAACTTTCTTTTCTTTTCGTTAATCATGCCGAAATTCAGTATTGTGATGTTTTTCTCAGTGGTGACTTGAAATATGCAATTATTTTTCAGATAGTGTTACCGGATCCTTAGTTATCAATAAATTTGTAATATTATTTAGGTCCTCCTTGCGGATTGTTAGCGTAAATTTCTTTAGAATATATCAGAAATTTTTATAGAATTGCATTCATCAAGACATGCTTTGTGCGGTGATACTATTTTGTTGCTTTTTATGTCATAAAATAATTTGGATTAATTAGTCTCAAAAAGATATAGCGTGTCGTTTTGTGCAACTTGATTGCAAATGTCTATTCTATTGCAATATCATTAAATGAGGCTTAAAATAGCATCACCGCACAAAACATGTGTTGGGCGGGGCGGGGCGGGGGTCTGGTCTGGTCTGGTCTGCCCTGCCCCCCCAGTCAAAAGCAAGTTGGTACGCCACTGGTTGTGTGCAAATCCATGTATGGGCAAATTTATGTTAGTAGAGGCTTTCATTATGATGCATTTTACACTTTAAAACGACTACTTTAGGGTTGACTAAAGTAATCTTCCGAACTAAAGTTTGGAAAACTCTGTGATCAGACGTTGCTTTACAGCACGTGCCTTCATTGAGTCATGCATTAAGAAAGCCCCAAAACTGTACTTTTACTTCTGACTTACGAATCGTATACTGAAATTGGAGAACAGAAGGCCTTTTTTTTTGCATGCACTATTCTTGTATTAAAACAAAAAAATTGAATGTTTGGGTTTCCCTCAACTTACACCGTCTTTTGAGTAAGGTGCGCTGTAAGTCACTGGGAGTACCATGTTCGATCCCATCTTTGAGGCCCCCTAGTGCTCCCTCAACGACTGTCGACTTCTCAAGGTCTGTTTCGGCTACAAAAGGCCCCGCACCTGCTTAGCGTCGTTGAGGGTAGCTAGCGGGAAGCGATCGAGACAAAAGACAGTTTGCCACAAGAAAGATGGGGTGGGTTGCAGAGGAGAGGAAGTGGTTTTGTTGACATCCGATGCATGGCACCACGAAAAGTTGTGTACCTCAAATGATGTCACACTGTGGCTCCGACCACCACACGCGAGTGCAGATGGAGAAAAGAAAACATCTCTTGCTTTGCGGCTATGCAGTGAAATCGCGGTTATCCGGGGTAAGGTGGTGCGGTTTGTCTCACCTGTGCCGAGCTGAACAGTATGAAAAGTACAAGCTGTGTATTTTTTTACCATTAAAGTCGGTGCGCTGCCTCTTTAAGTTTCTAAACTTTCACGCCTTATTCCGCCCGCAAGCGTAGCATTTAAATGGGGTCTAAGCTCTCTGCAACGCACGGTTCATTCGCACGAGCAAAAAAAGTGGGGTTGACGTTTCTCGTAAATGCCACACGCTACACCTCACGCTAATTGCACCTGGAGCTTCGGAAACCCAACGTCACAGTCCGGTGCAAAACCAAATTTGCCCTTTCCCGTTCTGAGCTCCGTGTTTCTCATGCTTGGTGGCCACAGCGCAGTCGCAACCTCGCTAAGAACGTCGTTCCTTCCACTCCCAGTGATAGAGAACATGTGCAAGCAGGGCCACACCATCGGCGGCGACTTCCACGAACTCCGCGGGATCATCGACAGGGTCAAGAACAAGTCGCGCATTGGGGTCTGCCTGGATACGTGCCACGCATTCGCTGCAGGTCAGTGCCATGCCGTCTGCGGCACGCTGCAATAACGTCACAATGGACCTTGGTCCATTGTGTCTGTACGATAGAAGCCTCGCGAGCGATGTGAATGTTCTGCCGATTGCGCAGTGTTGTTGATGACACCGAGGTTCTGTGTACCGCCTTGGCTGACCATAGAGTGCTGCAATGTTTTTTTATCCAGACTGACGAGCTGCCTGCTCAGTAACCTGCCTGCAGCAGACTTGCAATGTTTTGTTGACTGGCAAAGATATTTTCTCTCGATTTTGTCGCTTTCTATTTTTTACTTGTATTTTTTTTGTTTGTTTTTTTGTGTTTTTATGGGACAGTGCACCGCCTCCTGGGCCACTCAGCTGTTGGTAGGCACCCAAATCTATCTGCACATTTTAATTTCACAGAAAGCCCCGCAATAACATAACCCACCCTCTTTGTGAGGAGAAATGTTGATATCCCAAATGCTACGTTGCCCTTGGGAAATAAAGTGGTGCAGAAGGACAAGGGACAAGTAGACAAAACACACAAAGAGAGTGCTTTGTCTGCGTGTTCATTTTACTTATTTCTTGTCTTTCTTCACCGTTTTTTCTTGTAACATGTACTGACTCACCCATCTATAAACTGTTGCCCGCGGCAAAAAGTGGGAGCCACACTGTTGCCTATCGTAAAATTTCAGGCATGAGCCCATCTCACAATAAGCACCCGCCCGCCACATTTCCAATGTTGAAAAAATATATGAAGGCTCGTATCAGGCACCACCACCAGATTCCTGAGGTCACCTACAGTGAAACCCGTTTAGAACAAACCCACGTACGGCGAATTATTGTCAATATCGAACTCACGGAAAATTTAAATAAAAAGGCATGTAAAAAGTACTTTTTATAATGAACAACACATTGGCTATATCAAACTTTTTCCCCTGGGAAGGCTTCCAAAAAACGCTCAGACAAATGTCTTCTAGCCTCCCCCCCCCCCCCCCCCCCCCAAAAAAAATGTGGGAAAGAAAGAAAATTTCTAAACCCCAAGCCGCTAACAAAATTGAGTGAAGAGAAGTGATTCAGAAGGGAAGAAAGCTGAAAAGACACTAGGCACGCACGCGCAGAAGGGAAAAAAAAATATTTTCATCCCAAAGCGGGTTTCCACGAAGAGAAACGATTCAAAAACGAAGGTAAGCTAAAAAAAATAAAGAACCTGCTCGCATGCAAAAACAAAAAAAAATATATATTTCCAGAAGCGAATTAGATATGAGAAAGAAAGAGAAGTTTTCGGGCCTTACAACGAACGCATTGTGAAAGTTCGTTGTAAATGGTTTTTGGTCTATCGAACTACTTGCTATATCGAATTGATCGTAGCGTTTCCTGCTGTTCGGTATAAACTGGTTTGACTGTGTACTTGTAGTTGCATAAAAAAAAACGAAGTTTTTCACAGTGTTTGTACGCTGCTCAAAGTATACCGTATCTGCCCATTCCCTACTAAGTGCCCACCCCAAAATTTTTCAACATCTGAAAATATATGCACAGTAGATATATAGGTAAAATTAATGACCTAACACGTGCTCATTCCCCAATTTTCACGACTATCTTCATATTTTGAGTGGGCGCTTGCTCGGTATTTTACGGTAATTCTTACGAGATTTGGTTGTTGGTGGAATAAACAATGCCTTTGCCGTTTTAAATGTGTATGTCTTAATAAAATAGCATATAGCTTGTTTGAAATGCACCTACTTAAATCTTGACTCTGAACATAAAGGGAGAAATTAGTAATGATCCGCGAGAAGCCGGCAGCGTTTCTTTTTACTACGGTTCTTAACGTGAATATGAGTGCAGTATAAACTTGTTATAACAGACTTGGTAAGATTCTCTTACTACAAATTTTACATATATTACGATTGATGTCTGTTCTAGTCAGTAGAGCTGACAAAATGTGAGTGGATATTAGAACAAGAACTGGTTTATCAATAGTTTGGAACTTTGAAAGATGGTGATTTTTTATTGAGCCATACAGCTTGTCATTGCTGTGTACTTTGGGTCGTGGCTTGCCAGGCGCCGAGTGCGACGACACCAGTTTGCGAAATGGATGCATTGCTAGCGAACCAAAGCCGAACAATGTCCGACCGCTGTCGAAGAGTGCTGTAACCACTGATCTCAATGTCCATTTGCTGGATCGCATTTGCCTGCTCTGTGAATGCGGCCACTGGCGGCCATCTTTTTGGTAGAGTTATATTACCTCTAACCAATGTACAGCTAGTGCAGCCACTATCATCCATCCATGACAGACAGCGTTGTGGCTAAAATAGCCGTGGGTTATATTTCGTTCTTGATTGAAATTGTTTGACGAAACATATTGTTGAGACCCGGCATGAACGGTAGCCCGATCTTTGAAAGTTTCACGAAATTGCAGCACCGGTGAAAAGCAGCACAGCACGCATCGAAAGTCACATCAAAAGTAGCGTCAAAAGCAGACGCCGCTTCGTTGGTCTGCTTTCGAAGCGAGCTGCGCTGCTTTTCCCCGGTGCTGCGCTTTCGTAGAACTTTCACCGTGTCCTCAAAGATGGGGCTACCATTCACGCCGGGTTTCAAGAATCTGCTTCGTCGAACAACTTCAATCAAGCGCGAAATATCACCCACGGTACAGTGTACTAGACCCACAGCTATTTGTATGGCAGCCTGCCGCCATAGTGCCGTCCGCCATATTACTATGATGGCTAGAGATAATATAACTCTACCAAAAAGATGGCCGGCCGTGGCCACATTCCCGTCCATAGGTGGAGCTGGTCAAACGCGATACAGCATATAGACATAGAGATCAGTGGCAGTAACAGACTGGTAAACTACTTACAAACTCCCTAATATAGTCCATTATACCCGAATGCACGTCATAACAGTATCCGTAATGAGTGAACAATGGTACTGTTAAGGAGACCAACCAAACTTCACAAATCTATATAACCGAGTGTCTGTGCTGTAACCAGATCTGTTATAATGACGATATATAGTGTGTAGCTAGGGTTCCGCCACCTGTATTTCTCGTGAAACTTGGAGGGTGTTTTTCTGAGTTCATTTCTCGCTGAAGGTACGGGGTTTATTGGAGTTTAGGTTTCCAATACTTTGAAACTCCGAGTTTATTGTACTGTGTTCTTATATTTTAAAAACTCAAAAACAAAAATATAATCTGGGCACCATGACCCATCGTCCTGAAGGAACCTAGACATGCAAAAAGGCAAACCCCTTTTGTCAGTCGCTTTAGATTTCAAGGAAAACTGAAGTGGCATCTCCTCACGACCTCTGACCCTGTGCTCTTATAAAGTTTATTTGTAAAACACCTTTTTTGCTTTTTATTTTGTTGTTCCGACCTCCAAATTTGGAACTTTCTGGATAAATCCGACTTGACAAAAAATTTACCTGCGAGTGTTTTTCTAATTTTTTCGGATTTATCCGAAAACACGGAACCCAATGTATGGCTAACCGAGATGCTCGTCCGTGGGGGCCGCTTCCCTGAGCTCTCTGGTACAAAGAGCAGAAGCTTTGACGCGCACCCGCCGGTGCAAGGTGGCGAAGCTTGGCACACGCACATCGGTGGAAGGCGGTAAAGCCCACTCTATCATGTGCCCTTTCCGCATCTTGTACTCTCAGACCTAGCGCCCGTTCCCCAGTTTATCGAAATTACTCTCAAATTTTGAGCTGGTACTTGCTCGGTATTTTGCGGTAAATTGAAAAGTTTTCTTGGTGGTTCACGAATAGAGGAGTTCATAATAAACCAAGAAAGAACAGACGGTGCCTGTATCCATCAGGGGCTCTTAACTTTTCCCCATACTGGCACAAAAAAAAAAAAAGGAGGTAACCCATGAATCTTAGTGATTGAAGTGCCGCGCCAAAATATGCCATGAACAATAGTTTCCTACACCTTCTGCCAAAATGCTATTTTCGCTAAGAATTGTGCCACACCTACGCTGAAATAAGTTTAAAGCAAGAAAATAAATTAAAATATTTTATTATTGGTTGATTTTAATATTCACAGAAGTAGAAGTCAAAAAGTATGGTACAAATATGATGTTAATGCAAAGGTGCAAGCAAACTGGGCGAGAATAACAATAATCATCGCTGAAAAAGGGGAACAAGGGGGACAAACACAAATCTCTAAACACGGCTAGGTGGCTAGTGCATCCCTGAAAAAATCCGCCTGGTCCTGGCATCGAACCAGGGACCTCATCCATTTCCAATGGAGCGCCCTTGTTCCCTTTCTCCGTGGATTATTATTGTTATGGTACAAATATGTTGTATTTCGCAGCATCTCTGCTCACCGTATGGTATGCTTCGTCCTAGATTAGAACACAGTCGAACGCTCAAAAACATACAACCACAAACGCATACCAAAAGCGCAAGTCACGGGACATCCGCTGTGCCCGGTTGGTTAAAGGCGGGCGCTCAAAATTTTCTTCAGCGTGGCAGAAATTCCCCCTATTTTCTTTTTTTTCCTCCTCCCCTTTCCTCCTCCATTTTCCTCCTCGCTTTTTTACGGCCTTCTCGCACGAGTGCTAATGGGCTTACCGGCCCCCCGATAAAATCTCTGTAACCCTTCAAGGTAGAGTGCCTTCATGTGCGCTTCGCATAGAGTGATGCCAACTGCCTGTTTCGCTTTCCCACACCCTTTTCCACCGCCATTTTGTTTCTCTCATTGTTTCCCCGTGCGCCGGAAAGTGGCCTTTGTGTCCATCGGTAATCCCATCCGAGGGGGAAAATGCTAATCCTCCCTCCGTGGGTTCCACAACGTTGCTCCGAACTTCTGAGATAAGGCGCTTGTTTCCGGGAGGGTTATAAGCCCCACGGATTATCGCCGAGGAACAAAATGGCTGCTGGTTTGTCGGCGAGTGGTATTACAAAGGGTGGCATCACCCTAGCAAAGCGCACACGAAGGCTCCCTACTTCAAGGTTCTCTGCTTCAATCCCAAACACCAGGGATTAGTTAGGCAGGCTGGATATGAGCTCGGAAGGGTTCGGGCTGGC